GTGGTTTGTATTGGCGTACGAATATCCTCAAGGCTAACCAGATCGGTTTGATCCCACCACAAAGATACCACTCCAATAGAAACCAGTCCGTCAAGGCATTGAAGTGGCTGCAGTGGATGGAGCTGGAAGAGAATTATCCCATCCAGACCAGAGCCTCAGGAGCAGAATTTAAAATTGGACAGTATTTTGTGGATGGATACTCCGCCTCTACCAGCAAAGATTTGAATTTCACGGTTGCTGGTACCATGGATGCCCTGAATGCACTGCTCCGGACACGATTCATCCTTTCCGAAACCTGCCCATGAGCAAGATTTATGAGGAAACCATTCAACGGGATGCTCGTATTCGTAGCATGGGCCATGAACTTTGCGTGATTTGGGAGCACGAGTTCGACAGCCTTGTGAAACAGGAGCTATTTTTTGCAGCCTTTATTGAAGAGATCACTGTACGGCAGCCCATCAATCCCCGGGATGCGTTTTATGGCGGTCGCACGAATGCCACCAAGCTTTTTCATAGTGTGAAGGACGACGAAAAGATTCGCTACTTTGATGTTTGCAGCGAATACCCCTACGTTAACAAGAACAAGCGTTACCCCATCGGACATCCGACCATCATCAATAAGGATTTTGATGCAATTGCCAATTATTTTGGGATAATTCAGTGTGAAGTACTGCCACCTGCAGATCTATATCTTCCCGTCTTGCCATACCGATCCAACGGGAAGTTGGTCTTCCCTTTATGCCGCACCTGCGCCCAAGAAAAGCAGAACGCACCATGTACACACGCGAACGATGAACGGGTGCTCGTTGGAACTTGGTGTAAGTATCGAATTCCGCATGTGTAAAACCCCCACATAAACCCCCACGGGAACTTTTTTTAGGTTCGCCGGAGTTACACGCTGCAATTGACCGCGGTTACGTCGTGATAAAGATATTTGAAGTTTGGCATTTTGAACAGTCCGAAGAGCGATTGTTTGCGGACTACATTGACCGTTTTTTTCTCAAGATCAAAACCGAAGCGAGTGGATGGCCAGCGGATGTCGCTACCGACATGGAAAAAGACCAGTATCTGCGGGATTTCCATGAACACGAAGGGATCGAACTGGAGCGCGACAAGATAGAAGCCAATCCAGGGATGAGAGCACTGGCAAAGCTCTGTTTGAATAGGTATATACTTGAACTTTTTCCTTCGCAAAGCGCACAATGACCGCCTTTGTTTGCAGCTTCTGGGGCCGTTTGGGCATGCAGGACAACAAACCAAACACCAAGTATATCTCTTCGCCGGAGGAATTTTACCGGATGCTTCTTTCTGGAGAGTATCATATACACTCGTGGGACCTGTTCAGTGACGATGTGCTCCAACTATCCTACACCAGGGAAAGCCTGTTCGTCGAGCAGAACCCACACGCCAACGTAGTTTTAGCTGCGTAAGTGTCTACTGTCTTTGGGGTGCACCGGTGATTCATCGGTGAAATTTTTTGTTACAGTTTTACGACCTGCTGGGCACGCCTTCACTTGTATGGTTACATGGAACAAGTGCAGGACACGTTATTGTATTTTGACACTGGTGAGACATCTGCTTAACTTCTTATTAAGTGTCAAGACGTGATTCTTGCGTATTTTCAGATTCCATAATTTTTGTGGACAGACCAGGAATTTCCGTTCCTCCGACGGGCAAATTTCTCGGCGACTTGACGGACGAATTACAAGCTGGGCAGTTCATCACCCAGTTCGTTAGCCTTGGCCCAAAGACATACTCTTACAAGACCAACGATGGAAAAAGTGTAGTTAAAGTTAAAGGTTTTACACTCAATGGTCAAACTAGTGAAGTCATAACTTTCGAAAGGATGGTTGGTGTTTTGGAAAAGAAGACCGATTTTCTTGTGGCAGAGTATCCAGACAGTATTAAGCGCGATAAGAAAACTATGACTTTGAAGCAGGTGGATCTTTGTAAACGGCTGAGTTTTACGTACGATAAGCGAAGAATTGTTGATGTTGATTGGAGCACTTTGCCTTACGGTTATACGTCGCGATGAAGTTCTGAATAAAATCTGAAGTGGTTCTTCTCAGTTTATTGGTAGCATTAACACCAAATCAATCATCGCCCAAGTCAAATCAACTTCAGACTTCGCGCCTAGAAAATTACAGCGCCCGCTTGCAAACAAAATAGCCGTACACTCTGGCAATTTGATTCGTAAACCAAGAAATCTATCAGCAAAATAGGGAACATTCAACCGCTTACTCACACTGTCGAGGTCAAACTTCTGACCAAAATCATGCGTGCCCACAATATTGACCACCGTATAGTCAGTAACAGAACAATCATAACCAATTTTACGCAGTAATCGTACAAAATATTTAAGCAAAAAACGCGATTCGTCCAAATTCTTGCCACCATTCACGGTCACTTTACCGTTGACATACAGCTGACAATGTGCTTTGGGTGGAGCAATGCGACGAAGCAGAAGTCCCGAAAATAAACGGGGGGTATACTGAGCCAACGGCAAGCGTTTCTCAATTTCAGTCAGATTCAGGGGGCAGTTTAGCTTCGCGGTGGCAACAACATTGGTGATCCGTACCATTCCTGTGTAACCACAGTCCGAAGATGATGGCCTTTCGCTGGGTGGTTTGGCTTGCAGATGTCAATCGCCGGAACGTTGGGCAGTGATAGTCCTCCAGATTGATCACTTCCGGTACGAACTTTTCCAGGAAACGACACTTTTCCAATCCCTTGGCGTAGAACGTCACGTCAGCTGGTCGGCCGATTCTTTCAAAAATATTCTCAAAAACCACCGTTGTCTGATTGTGGCGATAGTCACCGTAAGTGTGCCAGATCAGTCCGTGAGAGTGGCGCGCCTGTCTCTCCAAGTCACGTGCATACTGGGAAGCACTGCGCGGTAGCGTAAATGTGTAGAAGCCGACTTCTCCTTTTTCGGGACAAAAAAACGCCAACTGTTTTAAAAATTTCAGTTCGTCAATCACGAACCAATCAGCTTCTAGAACACACCTTAGACCCATTTTGAACTGTGTGCATGAATGAAATGAACTGCAACTAACAAATACGCGTTGCTTTTGTACTGTAACAATCATACGTTTTTCGTCTTCCCCAAATTTGCATAGGAGAGTGGTATGCAAAACCAGTATGTTCCACTGGTAGCAGGTCTTTTATGTACAAGTGCAGATTTACTCAACTTGCATAGGAGCGTCCTATGCAAAACTGAGCCTGCAGTACCTTTCTGGATTTTGCACAGGACAACGCTTGTCTGCCAGCCCATAAAAGCAAGCAATAAGCGAATCACTATATCATTTTTTTCGATGCTTCTGTTTTCTAAACTATTTCAAAGACGTTTTTTCCTTTGCAACAACTATGGAGTTCATTCCTGATTTAATTTCCTCTGAACGTGCCATGTCTCCCAAGCCGTCAAGCAGTGGAGCCGCCCGTGAGATTCCGGCCACGCCTCTGAAGCCACGTACTTTTGCCAAACGCCGTGCCCCGGAAGTGGATGATGTCAAGCTAAGCCTAGCCAAGAAGTTCAAGGAGCAAGAGGTCACCAAGCATCCTCGTCACGCCTTTACCCATGAAGGTGCCAATGACTACAAGATCGGCTTCGAGAAGTACGTGTACGCCCGTTTCCAAGACGGAGTCTCGGCCATTGTCATCGGAGAGTGGAAGAAACAGAGCGACGACACCTACCGCCGCACCCTGGAAAAGTCCATCACGGTAAAGAAGCCTGGATTCATGCGCTTGTGTGCCTTGATTATGAGCGGCAAAGGGGACCTGGACAAGATTTCCCAGTGCAGCAGCGGGACCGATGGTAAGCTGACACCACTGTACGCCCTGGAGAATGGATTGTACTTTGGATGGGGACGCTACAACCGTGTCAACACGGCCACCGTGCGTCGTTACACTCTCGGCAACAACGGCGACCTGATTCCCACCAAAGCTGGCGTTACGTTTGGGTTGAAAACCTACGACGGACTGAAGGAGCTGGTTGTGGACATGACCCTGCTGAAAGAGCTCCTCATTGTGGATGAAGCCAACCATGTGCCGAAGACTTTGAAGTCTGCCTTGGCTTATGACAAGCTGAAAGAAGTAAGCGGTTCTGTCTCAAGTTTAATTTGCACGTATCCATGTGTATCACTTAATCTAGGAAGTGGCCGAAGAGTTTACGGAGCTGATCCACCAGATGCGTGGACGTAACGGCAAGATGGTGTGCGGGAGCGCCAGCGACGACGAGTGGGCAGCGGCTGAGAAGGCTATTTTGGAGTCGCGCTACGTGGAGGCTGTGCTGCTGGAAGCTGACCAAGTGAACGTTGGGCAAGTTATTGGATTGGACGTTAAAGGGTATCTTGAACTTAATGCTTTGGAGTTTCGTGCCATGTTTGCAAAGCTCATCTGAGCGATGTCAATGACTGCTTTTTATTGGCTTAGCGTTTCATTTGTCTCTTTTTTCTTAAACGAATAAACCGCGGCTGCTTTTTTCCGTTATTTTAATTCCGATATGCGTTTACATATTTGTCGGATAAATGCACTGTCAATGACTTTAGTGTTGATGTCAAAATAAGAATTAACATACTGACAGACCATTTTGTCGTTGCTCGCTCGATTATCGGTAAACAAATGCACAATATTAGTGTAAGATTCGCCACAAACACGTCGAAGAATAAAAAATAAACAATATTGCCCTCACACGGTAGAATATTCAGATTGAAATTGTTCGGATTGCTCTATAATCCGATTCGCTGACATTATACTCGCAAAATTCTTGGTATACGAATCCAGTTTCCTCCCAAATGAATCAAACACTTCCAGAACTCCATCTTGTTCTTGGTAAAGAGCGATCCAGTGTGATCCGTCTTGGTCCGCTGGATCAGTGTTGACCACCGCCGCACCAGGGTAGGGCGAAAGTGTATTTGGCACTTTGTCGCTGGCATACACTCCACGCAGCACTGTCTTCGTCGATGAGTTCGACTGTAGGGCACTGAAAATCTGGTCCGTGTTCATGTTGAAAAGTCCGCAATCAACTGGCGATGCTGGTTAATTTCGATAATACTGTCGTACACCAACATGGCGACCATCATGACTGTTTTATCCAGAGGTTTCTCAAAGTTGACCGACACGCTTAAATTGCCTTGCTTCACCAAAGTCAGCGGTCCTCGTCCTGTATGTCCCGGTGTCAAGTCAAAGCCGAATAACGTGTAACCACCATTATAAGCCGTCCGATTAAAATGGACACTGTTTTGCGGATGTGTTCGATATCCCAAGGCGTCCAACAAACCATCGTAGCACTCTAACGACTGTGACCGTCCAAAATCGGCAGTGTATGGTTTTGTGGGGTAGCTCTGTCCATCCACTTCCACACTGATCTGGGTGACGTTAAAGTGTTGAAAGTTGAAAGGATTCGTTTTGATGTTGCCATGAAAATCGTCGCTTTCCAGGAAACCGATGATCATAACCTTGGGAATCTGTCCGATCTGCAGGTTGCTTACCACGGTGCTCTGCGTCTTTTGTGGAATATCCGACACACGCATCACCACGCGCTCAATGTGATACTTGACGGTTTTCTTTAGCATTTCCGAGGCCACGGCCGTCATGAAATCGGGTGCCGGGATATACCGGCGGACCGATAAGCGAGCATTCCGAATGAACGGTTTGAACTGTTTGGTGGCATCGGTATCCCATACACGCAAACAGAATTCCGGCCGGCTCATCACCAACCGGATATTGATGGGAACACCAGTGCACAATGGTTTACTTTGGTCGAATAAGTCCGCAAATATTTTACCCGACAACTGCACGTAGTTACTGCCAGAAAATAGGGCTTTGCGGCTAACTTCTCCTTTGTTGTCTTTTTCGTCGCTCATCTTGTGTGCAGTGTCAGTGTAAAACGCAGCAGATGACAACTGGGACCTTTGGGCATCCACCGAATAAGACAGCAGAGAATCCAAATAAGCCCGATATGGATAAAATGTCGCGGCATCCGAGATCAGTCGATTTGCCACAGTTACGTGGCACGAAGAGAACAGCGAATGCAGAAAGTTGTTGACGGGGGCCACATTGTCAGCGTTCGTTACCAGCGTCCAGTCAGCAGCTCCTTTCTTTACTTTGATGCCGACCTCCAATTCTAAGATCATATCTGCCAGGCTAAGCAGTCCAGCTGTGCTGGGAGGGATGTAAAAATTGATATCGCCAGCCGAGCCGCTATCCGTCAGAATCGTAGTGGGGTTCAACTTCTCATGCTCGGTACGCCACCGATCAGTTAGCGTAGCCGGTAAGGCGAACAGTTGGTTTTCCAGCTGCATTGCCGGCTCCGAATTTTCCATCATCAGTAAGGCCATGGTCAAAAGTAGTCGGGTATATTAGTTGGAGGAATGCGTTTAATACGCTGTCGGTTACGTACAACACGGCGTTTCTTACGTATTCCACTTCCTTCTTGCGGTGCTAAACGTTTGCTTATGGTTTCTTTGGCTTTATCAGCAACCTCTTTAATAGCCCCGGTAGCGGCTTCTTGCAAGTGAGGCGTGGCGGCATCCAACGCTGCCTTGGCATGCGGAGCGGCACGGCGTATGATGGGTTTGGCGAACGCCGATATTTTGGCGAATAAGCTCTTCAGGATTTGGGGAAGGCCAGAGCCGTTTTGCAGTGTTCCACGGTAGCGAATGAGGGCGCTACCTCCAGTTTGGCTAACGAATATTTCGTCGTAGCGGCGCGGATCAGGAACATACTGAATGAAAGGCATTTTCAGTAGAGACGCTGTGGTCGGAAGTGCAGTTTCACCAGAGACTTTCCCGTTTGGAATTTGGCTTCGTCTCCTAAATCGTTGGCAATAATCAGCTTGATAGTTTCAAAATGCTGGCGAAGAACTGGAACATAATGGGGAATGTCGAAGCGTGCTTCCACGGTTTGATTTACTTCGCCTCTAATAGGTACGGCACGCAGAAATTGCGCCGCGGTGTCTCCAATCAGACTGTAGTCGGCCACATCGCTGTATAAGAATAGGCTTTGGTTGCCGAGCAGTGTGTTGACTGGTCGATCGGACAGAAATGTCGTCAGCTTTGGCGTTGGAGCTTTGTCCCAGAACGAAAGGTATTTAGCTTTCGCTTGACCATGCGCGGCGTCAATCGTTTCCGCAGGAACCTCCGGCTCAAATTGGTTTTGATCGAAACCCAGAATTTTTTGTAACGTTAAAGATTCGGGTGGAAAGCTAACAGATACTCGTTCATTTCCGATGCTGAGGAGAATCCGGTAGTGACCAGTTGCATAACCTAAAAATAAAATCACGTGTATTATCAGATTAATGTCAGAGGTAGGTTGCTAACCACACCATTGCACGAGCGCGATCTCCAGTACCACTGGGGAACGGTATGAGAGTTGTTGTACTGGAGAAGTGTTACAGTACCTGACGCTTTTCGTGGCGCCAGACCAATTTGATGATCTTGTCGAGGGCCCTGCAGCATCTTGCTTCCCTCGAAGCAGACCAAGTTTGTATAGTTTTCTGTGTGCACAGAACAGAACCCTTGATTGCACACCCCTTGTACAACAGAACCCCTGATTGCACAACAGTGTACATTGATTGTACATTGGCTGTACAATGATTGTAGATTGATTGTACAACATAGTACAACAAAACCTCTTATTGTACAACATTGCCCGTTGCCGCTGATAACGACGTTGCTGGTTTGCCCAACACGAACTCTTCGCCCAACACGAATGTGCGCTCACGCTGAATATTTTTAGATTAATGAAGTAATTTTAATGGAGTAGTGTTCTAGCGCAAGCAATTTCGTTGACTGGATACGAGTAGGTGTTGCCAATAAATTGTTTGCTTTTCGAAGGTAGGTCATACTAGAAAGGTCGCCCCCAGGCCCAGGTTCCCTAAGGGTACAGCACAATAAATTTCTACTATTTTATGCTCTGACCAGGCGTCATTGTAGAACAGTAGCGGCCACACGCGCCCCATGTGAATCCAGCGGGCAGTGGCCTTTCTGGCGTCAAAGTGGATGAAGGCCCGATCGCCATCCACATCCTGGATGTATCCTAGCCACCAACTGTTGTCATCATTATGGATAGCCACCGTGTTCTGATAACTGATCTGGTTGGCATCCGCCAAGAGCGGCTGAAACTGCGGCATCACTAGCGGCGCACACTCCATATCAAAGTGTCTAAAATTAAAAAAAAGGATTTGGTTTTGTGGATTTGGTTCAGACAATTCCTTCCTGTCCACCAACTAACGCTCCATTTTATTCGGATTATCTACATTCAACAGTCTACATTCAAGATAAACGGAGTTTTGCTTTTTGGTTGAAGTTAACTGGAATTAGCCGCGTGTCACAGACGTGCATGCCCGATAACGAGGGTCCTAACACAGCCATGGTGCAACAAGGAAGCTGCCGGATGCCGCTAACAATGGACGTACCGAGCGCGGATAATGGCGCCCGGTGGCTCCAAATGTTCTTGATTTCGGATAAAAAAGATGAGAAAAACAATTAAATGACATTCACCGTCACTTTACTCTCCGGTTCTTTCGTCCGCAGATATGAAAAAAGCCATAAAATTTCCCACATAGTCATTGCTCCAGTTGACTGGCCAGGGCACAAAGGCCAGGGCTACAGATTCAGAAAAATCTGATTTTTTGCAGAACGGTAACCTATAACATACGTAGTACACTTAGAAATAATTTCAGCTGCTGTGGTCAAGACAGTCGCGGCCTTAGGACAAAATAAAAACGTACGTAATACGACGTGGCACTATTATAAGCCAGCACAGGTGTTATGCATAGAACCAGGGCCTGGCCACTTGCCGCAAAGGCTCACTATGCTGTTTCACTGTGTAAACAAAAGTGTAGCAAGACCAGGCAACCTTACATAATAAAGACCACCCGAAACGCAGATGTGTGAAATGCAACACATCATACCGAAAGGGGAGCAGACACATGAAAAGCATACAGTAAACTTCTGTTGGCCTTTGTTCTAGCAGATAATGTGGCATGTAAGTAGATATTATAAATTTAAGCTTTAACTTTTGCTGATCAGCCTTCGCTTACATACAGTCTCCAATAAATACGAGTATACGGAACTAAATAAGCAGCCGCTTTTTATTCCCGTTTAACACAAAAAACTAAACAAATAAAATAGAAAAAAATGCACAATGATTAAAAAAACTGAAAATGCAAATGTTCACACAACCGTCCCGCTAACTTCACCAAACAAAAGGCACAACGAAAAAATAGCTGTTTATACTAACATAACTGCTCAAACAACCGACAAACTCACTAAAATCCGAACTTATCAGCATTCTTCGACTTCTTTCCGTTTGCACCACGACGCAAGACGCTAGCAGACACCTGTTCCGTGATAAATGATTGTCGCAGGAGCATGTAGCGCCACGCTGCAGTGGTAAAGAAGCTTGTTACCATCGTTTGCTGAGTCTCTCGAAACTTTTCAGGATCTTCCAGACGGTCAGCTCCGGCAGTAAGGTTATCGCATACAACCATTACGACGTCTTGCATAATGTTCGCAATAAACGTTTGACGCATCAACTGCTTACAAGCTTCCGGGAGCTGATACAACCGAATCAATGGATCTTGGTCAAGCAAATCCAGCTGAGATACAAAACAGTGTTCCAGTTGGTAAAAGAATTGCGCTACGCTCGGCCTTGCAAACAGCATTCTCCCGTACGCCTGCGACGTAAGCATATCCGCTTCTGGTGGGCGCTCTTCAGCCGGCAAAAGAAACAGTACCTGTTTTAAGTGAAGGTACTTTTTGAAGCGAGCCATCCGCAAAGCGAGTCCTGCAAAAGTGATTACACTGTTGAAATGTTTCAATTACAGCAGTTACTGTATAATACAAAATGTGATGCATGTTTAAATAATACAATTATATCAGTTATTGTGCAGTACAGTAATTACTGATGTTTGGTGCACAAATTATCTCCACGACAGTCATTTAAAAAAAACGTTTTTTTAATAATGCCGGAACTTTGTTGAATTGACTTACCAGCTTGTTTATACACAATTCCAAGCGTGACTGGGCTCAAACTGGCACTACTTGGTACAAAGTCATCTGGCAATTTAGCGTGACAAGCCGGCTGTGCCACCTCAGGAATCGGAAAATCTGTAATTTCCACAACAGGCTCTTCGCCAATAATCGGATCGCAATTTCCCATGATACGAAAGGATCTGCCGAGTCTGCACATCATAGCCCGGATAGCGTAGCGAACACCAAAAACTGTGGGATTTCGGTTGCAACCAGCTTTGTTACGTATGACACCAAAATTGTTCTAAGGAAACAAAAATATGAATAGTTTGAAAATATCGAATGTCAATTAAAAACTGTTCACCACCAAGAACTTACTTCAAGGCTGTCTTGATTTAGCCGGCGTGTCATGACGTAACTGAATCCGAGAGCCAGGACGCAAACCGAAATAGCAATGATCGACTCGATAGTCAAAATCCAACGCTCCATAAGATCGTTACTGTAGTTCCTCGTACTATTTTAATAGTAATTATTAAGGAAGAAAAAGATAACTAAGTGTACAATGGTAAAGTAAAATGTGAGTAATAATAATAGTAATACTGGAAGGTTACAAAAAGTAAACAGTTAAGTAAATAGTAAAATCAACGGCAGCGCGAAAAGTAAAAAGTATGTAGGTCGCTGGACCAATAGTAAATACAATGCTGGTATTACTACAGTAAATGTATAGAAAATATATAAGCTATAACAACTGCAATATATAGTGTATATATGAATAGTAATTTTCATAAGGATTAAACATGTTAATTTCCCTTTTAACTTTTTCAGAACAAAAAAATCAAACTTAATTGCAGCTACGTACTAGTTCCGCGATAACTTACAATATTTTGGCGGGTCCAGTTGTTCGTCTGGGAAATCCTCAGGTACATCGGTGATCACAGACTTCACGCGATCCGATGTGGACGAGGTTTCGTCAAATAATTAGCAATGACCGCTGCCGGATGTAATTCCCCGATGGGCGACGAAGAGTGAACTGCATCTTGATTATGAATCTTTATTTTGGGTTTGGGAACATCTATAGTACAATAACGTATCTTTATGGAGTGATTAGTTAAGAATTTAATAAATTACAGGAAGGAATTCAATAAACAGGAATACAGGAAGAATTTAATAAAAGAAGTATTAAACAGATGAGTTAAATAAAAGAAGTATTAAACAGATGAAGTCAAATACGCGTGAAGTAAAATGTCCATATTTACTTTAAATTAACGTTGAAAGAAATTAAATTATATGCACAACCGGCACTTACCAACTCCATTACTTTTCGCATGCGATCTACAAAAACCTCCGACCGCCGCAATGTTAGA